AAAAAAAAAAACATTTCTTTTGTTTGTGAAAATTGTTTTATTATTTTGGCGGTAATTTTCGGGCACTAGTATCGCCATCTTGTGTTTTTGAATTGAAATTGATTAGAAAAAAAATTTGCTTTCATTTTGTTTATTTATTGTTTTTTTAAATTTTAAAATGAAAAAAAAAAATTTCAAATTTTGAGAAAATTTTTTTTAAAATGATTCCTCTCCTTCAGTCTCTTCCTCCTCATCACCATTATTATCGATAATTTCTTCCGTACCAAATTCATCGAATCGATCTTCATTATCGATAAATTCCGTATCGGTAAATCTTTTCGGTTTATTTCGCTTTACATCAGCTAATTTTTTACCAGCGCTGTTATTTTTTACTTTTTTCGTTTTTGGTCTGGCTGTTGTCGTCGTTGTCGTTGTTGTAGATTCCGATTCAATTTGTTCAATTTGTGTCGAATCATCATTATTATTATTATTGAAACATTCAGTTTCATAAACACATTCACCATCGATACCATCACGTAGATAACCAGCTTCACAGACACAAGCACGTTGACATTCACCATCACATTTTAATTTCTTTTTATCGATACTGGTTATTATTGTCGATGTAATCAGCAAAGAAATAAAAATTGATTAATTTACATTCCATTCACATACTACAATAACTAACTAACCCTTTATTTTCACAAATACGTTGACATTTTCGTGTTGGTGATTGACAAGACCAGAATTCAAATTCACCAAGACATTCTTCTTCGGTTTCTTTTTTTTTGTAAAATCATTTATAATTAAAAATTTATCAATTATCATCAATTCAGAACAGAAAAGAAAACTTACTTAAAGCATTATTCAATGCCAATAATGATGATGATATAATCATCAGACAGAAAAACATTTTGGTTTTTTGTTCAATCATTTTTTTTATCATTATTCTTCAATGACCAGTAATGATGAATGTACTTCCAGTAATGACAATCTTCTGAATGTCGAATGAATTACGATTCAAACATTCAAAACAAAACAAAAAAAATTGAATCCTTTTTCTCATATGTATTTAGTAGAATATATATCAAACAGGAAAAAATAATTGGATGATTTTTGAGAAAAAAAATCATGATAATTGTGTGTGTGCAATTTCCTTTCAATCAATTTTTTAATTTTTTTTTTTTGACCAGAAATATTATTGCACACGGTGGTGATAAGTGATTTTGCCAAATGTAAAAAAATTATCATCAAAATTTCATTTATTATTCATGATCACATAGTCATTATACATAAGGTTCTATATGTCGCTTGTCTTTAATTTTAACCCGATAACCACCACCGTTTATTATCATCATTTTCATTTATAAGGATGTTTTTTATTTTTGAAATTATACTTTAGTCATTTTTATTCATTCATTCAAACCAAAATGAAAATGAGCCTTTTTTTCCTTTATTTACACAATTAAACAATATGCAAATTTGAAAAACCAAAAAAGTTTTTTTCTTCGTTTTCCGATTTACGCAGAACAACAAACGAAAAACATTATAATCACCAAGAAAGGATGCAAAATAGCTATATTTAAATCTTCATAAACAAAACAACATGATTTTTCAAACAACAACAATCAGGGAAAGAAAGTGTTAAAAAATTCATCATCATCATCATTGTAGTTAGCCACCCAATTAACTAACCAATCATAATGATAATGATGATTATGTAAAAAGAAAAGGATATTTTCATTTCCCTATTTGTCTGTGTGACAGGCAGAAAAGTTTCCGGACAACCAAAATTATCAAATTGACAATAAAAATGTTGAAGGAAATTTCTTTTTTAATTTCACCCAGCGATAAACAAAAACCACCACCACCAATTTTTTCCCCAAATAGCCCAGGTATTGGACAATTTTTGAAATGATAATGATTTTTTTTTATGCTATTGTTTCTTCCATTGGAGCTAAATTCTCATTGCTCTGTTTTATTATTTTTATGAATTTCACACGCACAACCAATTTGTAAAACTTTGTAATTTTAATCGAAATTCAATGTGGTGGTTACATGAGAAAACATGAATTATTTTTTGGTCAGAAAACATTTTCGGTCATTTTGACCGGACCGATAATCAAATTGTTGTTGTTGATCTTTCAATTGTTTTCTTCGTGGAAATTGACCAAACTTTGTGTGTTTGTGTGATTTAATCGACTTGTTTTACGTTTGATTTTTTGTTTATAGATTCAATTCAATTTGTTTTGATTTTTGATTTGATATGCATGTCAATTATCCTGACAAACAAACAAACAAACAAATCATTTGTTATTTGTCACACTGATCACTCAATTAATCACAATCAAAATCGATCGGATCAATTCAATTGATTGATTGATGATTTAATTTGTTTGTTTGTTTGAAAACAAATTGATTGATCGATTTTCAAGTTACTAAATATAAAATTTTAGATTTTGTTGGTCAAATTCAATCGCAATAATGATATGTTATATCAAATGTCTAATCAATCAATCATTTTATCAATCATCATTATCATTGAATAATAATGCGATTTAGTTTATCTCCAACAGAAAATTGACCTCATTATTTTTTTCATTGTTTTTTTTGCGCGTTTGGATTAAATTTCTTGTGAAAAATAGACAAAACTTTAAACAAAATCCCTTTAATCTTGAATCATGTTTTTTATTGAATTTTTATTTTCAAAATTTGACAAAAAAGAAAATGAAAATTAAATATAGTGGCAGTGGTGAGAATGTGAATTTTTCTTTGTGCGTTTTTTTAATACTGTGATTGACAAATCAGCTCCATGTTTTTTTTTTCAATTGACATTATCGATAATCAATCGAACAGGAATTGTCGTCGTCAGTTTTGCTTTGTTTGTTGTTGTCAAAAAGTATATCAGGGAAGATCCATTGATTGTAACCTCATTCATTTTTTTTTTGGAAAATTTTTTTCCTTGATTGAATCGACGGTCAATCCAAATGGATAATTCCACCATAGTGAGTGTGATTGATGAATGTGCTTGATTGATTGATTTAATTTATTGGCGGCAATAATGTCGGTAGAATTCAGTTTTTCTGGGTTACTTTTTTTTTGGTGATAATTTTTTTTCACGGTTAAGCATGAATGATGATGATGAATTTAATTTGTGATCGAGTTTCGAAAATCAAGGTTCAAAATATTGATATGGTTCAGGTTCAGTAATTTTGTTGTTGTTGGTGATGATATTTTTAGCCTTTTTTTTGGAAAAATTTTTAATAAAATTTTTTCATTCATTTATAACCACGATTACGTTCAATATAGGTTAAATCGATAAACGATTTACTACGATAACGATTATTTGGTTTAAAATTTTTATTTTTACTTGAATTTTTGGATTGTTTACATATTATCGTCCATACGGTATCAGTTAATCGTAAAATTTCCATTATAATCATTATCATTGATATTTTCATTAGAAATATTAATCTATTGAAAATAGATTGTAACCATTCATTTGATTTATTGATCCAATCATTCAGTTGGTAATTATCATTAAAAAATGATGATGGATAATCGAACCAGATTTCTTTGGAAAACATTGAATCATCAATACTTTTATTAGGAATTATGATTGATGATTGTAGTTGTTGTTGTTGTAGTTGTTGATGGTGTTGAAAATTATTTTGATCATCATGATGGTGATCAAAATAATATGATGTAAACCATAATAATTGTATGATGACAACAATTGCACTGATTATTAAACGTAATGAATGTTTTCGCAATTCATTTGCAAATAATTTTCGATATTTTTCAATCGATAAATGTATCCATTGTTGAATTGGATTTATAATTATTAATATTATTCGAATAAAATGATCAAATAGAAATGAAAAACCAAATTTTGTAGAATAATCAATCATATTAGATTTGCTGAATGTTGAACGTTGTTGCTGTTGTTTAGCCATAAATAATATTGATGATAATGAATTGGCCATGTTCGGATCATAACAAAAAAAAATTTTCGAAAACAAACACGCACAGGTGTTTTTTTGGAAAGTAAAGTGTTATTTCACAAAAAAAAGTTATATAATCATAATATTTACATCATCATCATTAGATAATCACCCACAGTAAACAAAAAACATCAACTTGGAACAAATGGGCGAACAACGAACCACACAGAACTGTTAATTGTTTTTTTGTTGTTGATCTGACTTTTTTCTTCAGTCAAGAAACAATGCTTGATGTTTGTGGTTGGAAAACTTATCAAGTTTAATAAAACAATAATTTTTTTTCTTCTTTATTTTCAAATCTCCAACCAAAACTGTGTGACACTGCAGTGTGTGTGTGTTTCTCCTTAATTCTCTTTTTTTTGTCCATTTTGGCCAACGAAAAAAAAGAATGAGAATTGAAGCGAAAAATAAGAGAAAAAACCGAATGAAATGATGAGATGTTTATGTGGGTGAATTATTCGAAGTAAGTAAGAGAGAAGAAAAGCTAAGCAAAAAAAAAATCCAATTTTCTTTCGTTAAGTAAAAAATAAACAGGAAAAAAAACTTTACAGAAAAAAAAAGTTTTTTCCGACCGTTGTTTGTTTACCGGCAATTTACTCTCAATTACAATCATGATGATGATGATGATGGTCATTATATCAACAATAACTGTATTTTTTTTTACCGTATACGATTGTGGATCACGCAAGGATTTATTTTTTTTCTTCTTGTAGAAAATGATGGTATTTTCAATCAAAAAAACAATCGAAATTCTCTCTCTCTCTCACCCACTCTTAATTTGTCTGGAAATTTTTTTGAAAAAATTGATTTTTTTCCAATTTTCAATCATGATTTTCAATATCGATTCAATCAAATAAAATATTGTGCAGGTGTGTAATTTTTTTTTTTTTGAAAAAAGGCAAAATCTTATTGATTCAGGCGCCATCCAGTAGATGGAATCGCAAACAAATGATCACAACACACGTGGTTGATGTTTTTGTTGTTTTTTGACTTTTAACTTTCATCAGATAATAATGACAGATTCAAATCCCGAAGATTTATATCAAGATTTTTTCAATGGTTTCAATGAATTTGATGCCGATTTCACTGATGATGCGGATAATGATGAAAAATCGACAAATTGGATTGATAAATTTTTTGGTCGTCGTCCACCTGAAATAATGCGTAAAGATATTACCGTACATTTGGAAAAAAGTTTTTTAGAACAATGTAAAAATGATGATGATCCATTCGGTAAATTTCAAATTGATGATTGTAATATTTTAAATCAGATTAATGGTAATTTGTAATTTTTTCTTGTAAAATTTTGATTTTTAAAAAATTTCTTATTACTCTTAATTAAAATAGATCGATTTATATGTGAAAAATGTCATCGATCACGATTATATTATTGTTATACTTGTTTTGAATTATCACCCGAATTGATTGGAAAAATACCCGAAATACGTTTACCAATAAAAATCGATATTATTAAACATCCACAAGAATTGAATGGTAAAAGTACTTCGATTCATTCAATCATTTTATCACCAAAAGATGTCAGAATATTCACTTATCCACAAATGCCCGATGATTGGTATGATTTAAATAAAGTATGTTTCTTTTTTCTGTTTTCAAATGAAATGTTTATGTATTAAGATAATTTATTGGAGAAAATTTTTCTGTATTTTTGTTTTCAAATGATGAATGAATGAATGCAATGTTTGACCAAATTGTCTGCAAATTTCGTTTGTAAATTATCCTTTTCCAGATAATAGATCCTATATTAATTAATCTAATTTAATTAATTAATTAATCGAATGATTACGAAACATAAATGTGACTTGGTTTACTCGAAAACTATACTGGTTTTTTTAAATATATCTTTCATATCTAAAATAAAATGTAGTAAAGTAATGTAAAACCTTTTACGGCTGAAAATTAATACGTAAATCATATTTTTTTCTGGTTAATATTCTTTCTTTTGTTTCTGTTTGTTTGTTTGTTTTAATTAACCCCGAAAAAAATACGATATGATATGATATAGAATATAATTGAATGATGATCCCTGTTGATATTGTCCATAATATTTATGATTGTAACATAATTCTTGTTAATTTCTTCAATAATAATGATGTCATTCATTCATTTAACGTCATTATTATTATTTTTGTTGTTGTAATGTTTATGTTTGGGTGTGTGTTTGTTTGTTTGTGGGTTTGGAATTACCATGTAGGAAACAAAACAAAGCAAAACAAAATTTCAATGATATTCAATACCCCCGAAACGATAATGATTTGATATTGAGTAAAATTTTTTTTCGTGCAAAACCATGATTGTATAGTTGAGTTAGGTTGATAACCATAACTATGACTGTTATTCATAGTTCAGTTAAGGTTAGGTTGATGACTATGACTATGACTAAAATAACATAAATTTTCATTCGATTGAGATTAAATTTAAATTTTTTTTTGTTTTGTTTTGTTTGTTTATTGTCTCCTTATTGTCAGTCTATTAATCCCTTGATATTACACAATAGACACAATACAAAATTTTTACTATTATTATTATTATTATTATTTGCTATGAAAACCGTGAAAAAAAATATTGTTATTTATTGTATTTCCTTTACAATTTCATCCCTATTATTATTATTATTATTATTATTAAATTTCATTTCAACTTTTGGTAAAATTAAATACAAAAAAAAAAATAACAAACGAATAAACAAACAAACGACAAGATAATAGTAATGTCAAATNCCTGTTGATCTTGTCCATAATATTTATGATTGTAACATAATTCTTGTTAATTTCTTCAATAATAATAATAATGATGTCATTCATTCATTTAACGTCATTATTTTTGTTGTTGTTGTTGTAATGTTTATGTTTGGGTGTGTGTGTTTGTTTGTTTGTTTGTGGGTTTGGAATTACCATGTAGGAAACAAAACAAAGCAAGATTTCAATGATATTCAATACCCCCGAAACAATAATGATTTGATATTGAGTAATTTTTTGTTTCTTGTGCAAAGCCATGATTGTATGGTCAAGTTATGTTAGGTTGATTACTACTGCCATGACTGTTATTCATAGTTCAATTAAGGTTAGGTTGATGACTATGACTATGACTAAAATAACATAAATTTTCATTCATTTCGAGATTAAATTTAAATTTTTTTGTTTTGTTTTGTTTGTTTATTGTCGCCTTAATATTTATATCAGTGACTCACTATATTAATCCCTTGATATTACACAATAGACAAATACAAAATTTTTACTATTATTATTATTATTATTTGCTATGAAAACTGTGAAAAAAAATATTGTTATTTATTGTATTTCCTTTACAATTTTATTTCATTCCTATTATTATTATTATTAAATTTCATTTCAACTTTTGGTAAAATTAAATAC